TTTTTAACACACAGAATATGCCTAGGTAGGCTTGCCTACTTATTTCTATGCATAGCTACTTGGCAAGTAAATGTGAACAGGTAAGTAAATATAGGTAACTACATCGATCTGTTAACCAATAGAAATTGATATCATAGGTAAGATATCTTAATTATAAAACCAATCATATAGGCTTGCCTGCAAAAAATCGTACATTAAATATTATTGCCAAGCTATAAAGTGTCTTCTTTTTCGCGAAGGCTCGTGGTCTTCTTCATTGTCATGAAGCTCGGGTGTTGAAGCTCTCATCGGTTCAAGCTCAGAATCTTCGTTTTGGGTGTTGCAAAATTGGTAAACAATTCCAACTGTATCATGCATGGTATCTTTCCCTGAATTTGTGTATACAAAGCGATCAAAATTATCGAAAGCTACATGAGTGCTACAGTTATTTGTTGTGCTAACTCCGAGTGGTAGAACTTTTCTGTCTTGAACCGAAGTATATGTCATTTCTGTCTCAAGTTCTTCTGCCAAATTATAAGAAATTGTATGACCATATTTATTAAGCATCGTAATAACTTGACGAGAATTTGTTATTGACTTTAATGCTAAACCAAGTGTTAAATTTTTTGCTGGTTTACATGCGCCCTTAGTGACTGCGTAAATTATATCACTGCAAATTGATATAACTTGTGTTGTAGCCTGGGTTGAGTTTTTCTCGGAAAAGTGAGGACCTTTAATAAGATTACACATAAAATCAAATAATAATGGTGGGATTTCACATTCCCCGCGGATGACGTCTTCTGCTGTGAGGCGTTTAGGCAATGGTTTCAATTCAATTTTTTTTATACAGTTTCTTAAGTGAAATGAAACATCATCGAATTTCTCTTCGTTTTTCTTCTCCAGAAATGCTGCATTATTAGCCATAACTGAAACGTCGATGTCTGCCTTATATATAATTTTTTTATTACGTGGACCTTTCGATGCTTCCATTATTAAAGTATCACCAAATTTGTTAAAGATTTTTTTTCCCAGCATTTCAGATCGGTAATCCTCAATATCAACGAGATCGATTGTATTTTTTCCAAATTCTAATAATAGAGCTTGATATCTTAAAACTAATTGAGAGAAGTACATTACTCGATTATTTTCAATTATTTCATTTGAAATAAAATCGGCAATACATTCAAAAGCTTGTTTATGCAGGTTTCGATAAGTATGCCAACTGGAATCTGAATGATGATCATCATTTCGTTTTTCTTTCGTTAGAAAAGAAGCATAACAGGGTTTATGATAAGCTATCGGAAGATTCTTCAGCTTTAAAAGAAACTCACGATCACCCAAGCTTTCTGCTACATTTTTCATTCTTTCACACAGCTCATTACTCGAGGAAATTATTAGATTGAGGACTCGCTTTCCTGATTTTTTCTGAATCTGGTTGCAAAATATACAACAGACAACTTGGCCAGCAGATGTAGATGATCTTGAAGTTGACGGCATCTGAAATGAGTAGAAAACTTTTAAGTTTACAGTTTACGATTATAAGATTTTCAAGAATGAAAAAGAAATTTATTATCAATTGAAAAAAAAATATTATGCATGCAGCAAAAGTAAAATATATAACATAGATAGAGAAATTTATATTATAAGATCTATCTAATACTGTTCTTCAAAAATATTTAAATGATTCAGTAGCAAATAATAAATGATTACCTCGTTCAAATCCTCAGAATTTGCAATATTTTCTGTATTATTTTCGTCATCTTCAAGAGCTGTTGTCTCTGGAGGTTCATTATCACTAGAATTAAGACTTCTTGAGGTCGTTGGGAGCTACAAAAATTAAATAAAAATAGTTATATAATGAGAATGAAAATTTCAATTGGGGTATTCACACCTGCCTGGTTATCAGGTTATCTAGTTAAAAATTATTAGTCTGTAGTGTATTTTGTTTTTGTAAACTGAGTTAAAAATATAACCACATAACCAGATAACCTGATAACCAGGCAGTTGTGAATACCCCAAATGTTATTAAATCAATTCACATGATTTAAGGAAATTTTCTCATTGTTAAAATGTTTATTTATATTAAATTTTTCAATTAATGGACATAAATTTCACAAAAATCAGCTAAAACAAATTCTATAAATTCACTAAATTTTAAAATTTCAGAAAACTTTTAATAAAAAAGTCTACGTTTACAAGAGCAACATACATATATGAAATTGAATGTACGGCTTATTTTTAAAACAAAAATCGATATGAAAAAATAGCTAATTGTAAATATTTAATAAGTATAAACAAAAACTTTTACTTACTTCATAATTTTTTACGAAATTTTCAAATTCTTCTTTGTATTTTTGTTTTAAAACTGTTACTTTGTTGTAACACGTGGAGTGATAACCAATAAGATCCAACGATTCTTTGCTTAATTGAATATCTCCATACTAGGGCTCGTAAAATTATCCGACTATTCGACTAATCGGTTAACCGATTATTCGATTCGTAACCGTTCGCATGCTTATTAGTCGGTTAAAGGTATTCGAATAGTCGCCCGCCTTCGGTTATTCGAATAGTTGCTTTGCTTCGACTACTCGAGCATTGTAGCAAATCGAATTTCAGCAACCGAACTTTCATTGAAATTTCTTTGACAAATGAAAAAAAATTTATTTAAATATATACATGCACACATATGAATGTATATTCAGATACAAAAAATGAGCGGACGCAAAAGGAGCTGGGTTTGGGATTTTTTCGAAAAAACAGAGGACGAAAAGGAAGTAACATGTTCCATATGTGGTGCAGTTTTGTGCTACACCTCCTCCACATCCTCACTGAACAACCATTTAACAAAAATCCATAACAAAAATCGCGAAAATGAGAGGTAGGTATTGCTTTAGCCATTGTCTCTAAAATATTCCGCAATAACATTTCAATAATTAGCGCACATTCTTGCAAAAAATGTTTGCCTTAATTTTGCACATGCCATCTTATATATGTACTACGAATGTAACAAGACTTTTCATATATGTATATGTATCTGTAAATGCAAAAAAAAACTCGAACTTAAAATATTCGATTAACCGAAAATGAACGGTTAACCGAATAATCTAAAGTGAACGGTTATCCGAATAGTCGACAGCTTTCGACTACTCGAATATTGCTAACCGATTAACAGACTTCAGTCAGCTTCGAATAATTCGGTTAATCGATTAACCGATTTGCCCGAGCTCTACTCCATACTTAAACTTTTGTTTTTTCCGGAAAGCCAATTTTAAATGGCACCTTTTAAATGAATTTTCGTCAAAGTTAATCATTTCTTTTTTCGTACCACACAAAAAACACTTTTTACTCATTTTTTAAATCACAATTAATATTATTTACCACGTGTTGTCACTAATAAATTATTTTCGACTATACACGACACGCACTCCGATAAACTCAACGGACAGGTAGCGTGCAAGTTATTCTGATTTAATTTTTATTTAAGTGAAGAGCATAGGTCACTTAAATCAAAATTAAAAACAAATTAAAATGGATTGGTGAAATCAAAAATTTGAAAATCAAAGTAATTTTCACTTAAGTGAATCTGGTGAAATTGGCTATACAACTTTATAGCTTGGCAATAATATTTTATGTACGATTTTTTGCAGGCAAGCCTATATGATTGGTTTTATAATTAAGATGTCTTACCTATGATATCAATTTCGATTGGTTAACAGATCGATGTAGTTACCTATATTTACTTACCCGTTCACATCTACTTGCCAAGTAGCTATGCACAGAAATAAGTAGGCAAGCCTACCTAGGCATATTCTGTGTATTAAAAACTATCAATTGAGATAAAACTCATTCGGTTATCACAAGAGTGAAGGTGATGAAAAAAAATGGATTAAAATTAATTAAATTAAAAATAGCTATGAACACTTTTCGATAGGCAAGTTATCATAGGCATATTTGTTTTTGAATTATATTTGATAAAACATATGTCTCATCGAGTTATCAGATCGGTGAAGGTCGATGTCCCACCGGCTCTTAGACTATTTGTGGAGGTTGATTTGCAACTCTCATCTGGAGTATCCGCCACTCCCTCCATCGCTACGACGGTTACGTCGTCCTCGCACTCCCCGTCGCTGTAAAGCACTTCTTCCTCCGCAAACACCCTACGCATTGTCGATGCGTAGGTTGATTGAGAGGAGTCATTGCTCTCAGCGTCGGAGAGCTCCGGTTCCGGCTCCGGTTCGGGTACCTCAATGTCCATGTCCATTGCTGCACCCGAACTGGAGGCGCGCTGAGCCTGCCCGCGATATACCCTAATTATGACCTCGTCGAGGCTATAATATACTCGGCTTTGCCGCTTCTCCAGGAGCTCGAGAAACTCCCTGTTTAGGGACAAAACTACCTCTCTTGAAGGCCTCGACTCGGATGACCCTCCAATCGCTCTCTGGAAGGGCTGGGTTCATCATTTGTAGCATCTTTAGGATGCTTTCTAGTGCAGAAGGTGTCGTTGGTACCCAAGCCCTTGCTCTTGGTCTGACTGGAATATCCCT